GACGAAGAGATAAATGACGAAGCAATAAGGGATGAACTCGACCTAGTCGAGGAAATCCGATCGGGGGCTGCCCTGCGCGAAGCCACCCTAAAACAACGAGTGGCTCTACGCCACAACGACAAGGTCATCAAGCGCGAGTTCGAAATAGGCAGCCTGGTACTACGCAGAAACCAGAAAGACTCCCGCGAAGGGAAGTTGGCCGCGAACTGGGAAGGACCTTACCGCGTCCACGGCACCACGGGTACCGGGGCGTACTACCTCGAGCAGTTAGACGGAGAGCCATTACCAAGACCCTGGAATGCTGCTAAGTTGAAGCAGTACTACAGTTAGAAACTGTCAACACCTAGGACCCTCGACCAAAAGCAACCACGCTCGGGCAACGAGGAAAAACGTCCAATTTCGTTTAAGGCTAAGGTACAGGCCCGACACACGACCAAAATGGCACGGCATCGCGCGGTAGACGTTGACGATCGATAATGCCCGACGTGGACAGCTGTACCGAGCCCCACCGTCGTCGTACCCATAAGGCAGAACACCCAGCTCGCGATGGGCAGTTCACGCCAAGGGCGAATCGTCCCTACGGGCTCCATGCCCGACTGAGCAACCTCGCTCCGAAATGCCCGACATTCCATCAAGAATAACGGGACATCTACAAGGGTCAAAAGAAAATCTCTCCCCTCGAGCGCAACACTTAAGCAACCCCGGCCAACCAAAATAGGGCCGAGATTGCACACAAATGGAGACGAGCATATTCGCTCGCCAAATCAAAGCCACCTACGGGCACTCCTCGGGCCCGGGACTTGAGCTAAATTCATACAAGCATGTGAGTTCATACAAGGGCAAAAAATCCAAAATAAATAACAAGGTATAAACGCCCGAAGGCAACAAAGCAATATTAAACCGACCAAGAAGGCCAGCGGTGTTCAAAACATACAATGAACGGGCACGCAGGCCCAAAGAATACAAATTCAAATATCAAGGGCACGCAGGCCCGCTATCCTACTCAAACTTCCACATTCTCATCATTGTCGACGCTGGGAGAGTCGGGCGGAGGAATGATCGCGCCACCTACAACCCGGTGTGTATGACCGATACCCTCGGTGACCAGGCCAGGGTTTAGCAATGAGAGCTGATCGACTGCAGAATTGAACCCGTCTTCCAGAGCACCGACGCAGTCCGCCTCGAGGAGCCGGATATGGGCGATAAGCTCAGCCCGACTCTTCAAAATCACTAGGTCCTCGGGCTCATCTTCGGCAGGTTGCTGAACAGCATTCAGTTCCTCAACCTGTTTACCCAGGCGTTCGACTTCAGCAGCCAAGTGATCCCTGTCGGTCCGGAGCAACTCCCCTTCCTCAGTCAACCTCCCCGACTTCTCCTTTTCCAAGGTCAGCATCTCCCTCTCGGCATCAAGTATCGCAGTCTGCTCTCGGAACATCCCCTCGGAGCGTTCCAGAGCGACCTTCAACTTCCGCGAGCTCGCAGTCAAGGCCTCCTTCTCCTGCTCGAGCTCTTCAACGCGAGCAGCATCCCCTGCATCCTCAGATAACACCAGAGCCATTTCGGCCATTTTAACCAGCCCGTCCACGCTGGCGGCCAGATAGGCCTTCCTTTCCTCCTTACTCATCTTCTTTATGGCCTCAGCTTCATGAGCGACCACTGTCGGAGGGAACCGCTCGAAAAAGCCCGCCTCTTCGAAGCAAGGGGGGAAGGCAAAAGACTGAACAGCTCCGGCATCCTCCCCGACAGTCGAACCGCCTTCCACGCGGGTCCTCTTCCTCTGCGTCAAAACGGCGCTGGGGTCAATCTCCTCGACCTCTGGATCTGACGCTGCTCCCGAGCTCGACGTCGAATCCACCCTCACCGGCTGAAGAGCGTTCAGACTTGGTGGTGGTCCCATTCTCGTCGTCTGCGGGGCCTGCACGACCCTCTTGCCTCGCCTCTGGCCGGTTGATAATTTCAGGAGCCTTTCATGTCGGCTGGCCATCGTACCTGCACGAAGTAAAGGAAAAGTCAGTATCGAGCAAACCGCGTAAATAAATGACGAATAAAGAATTTCAAACAAACAACCTAACAGGCGGGCTTCCTGCCTATATGTCGAACATTCCACCAGCGCCTTGGTGTCGATCGGGCGAGACTCGAATGTCGGGTAACCGTCTTTGTCGAGGATATCATCCCCTTCCCGCGTAACCCATTGGGCGGGATGAAAACTGTCGACAAACCGGCAAAGAGCCTCGTACGACCGCTGATCTTCCGGGCACATGTCCCCGACAGCGGTATGGAAATAACCTGTCCCATGCTCGTAATGTCGGGACATCCAGTACACCGGGAACTTAGCCCGACGTCCTAACACGGGGCTCCCGTTGTCGGCCACCATCGCTTCCCCGTCATCATCGCTGACTGGCCCTTCTTCCTCGAAGAGGGAATCTACAGCAGAGTCGGTAATAGGGCGTACCACATACCACTTGTCCTTGAACCCCCTCACGGAGTCCATATACATCTTAAACAGTCTCCTCGACTGCTTCAGGGACACCCAGCTGTGCTTCCCTCCTCGGGACTGACGCTGTAGGTGAAAGACCCGAAAGAAAAGAGGGATGGTCGCCCCTATCCTCAAGTAGCGACACGTCAACTCAAACGCCCGGATGAAGGCGAGAGAGTTTGGGTGTAGTTGGGACGGGGCCAGCTCCAAATGCATAAAGACTCCGGTCTGAAAATCTGTGAACGGCAGCCGCAGCCCTAAGTTCTTAAACGCGATCTCATACATCGCGAAGCTGTAGTTCGGGTACACCGAGCAAATTCTTGCATTTGTCGACGGAAGCATGACCACGAAATTCTGCTGGAAGTCGGGCTGGTCTTGGCCCTCTTCAATGGCAGTGAAGGGATGTCGATCATCCCGGCTATATATTGACGCTGTCCCCCAAGGCTCGACACCCACCCATTCCAGCAATGGGTCGGTCACGGTATCTATTAAGGTGGCCGACTCGTCGGCACTCTGTTCCTCGCGATCACGACGTCCGGAGGAGCTCGGCTCGTCCGCCATGGTTACCTGCAGAGCACGGGAAACCAATCAGTTGAGCACGAAGTCCTATGCTCGACATAATCATGTCGTCCATACACGACTACACAAGTCCGTTTTTACAAGTGGATGTCTCCCCGACTTTCCTGAACCCAGTGTTCTTCCTCAAACCAACCGCGCGGCCACTCTCCAAGCATGTTGACCCGAGGTATGAACATGGCGAGCCGCACTATGAAGCCCACGGCCACAACCATGAACATACCGGGCACGGTCATGAATTAGGCGCCCGGATCATGAAGACCCCGGGCAGCTCTGAAGTTTTTCACCTAAAACTATGAATGTGTCGGCCACAAGTATGCGTTTGCCGGTCCTAGACATGAATATGTCGGGCAAAACACGAATCTACCGGGCTAATCCCACGCGCACGATCCTAAAACATCTACAAATTCCAGGAATCATGCATTCTAAAACGGAAAAACCAAGAAAGTAGATCACTTACTTGGATCAAAGTTGGGATTTGGCTAAGAAATGAAGAATCTGAGACGGGAAGTCACAACTGGAGAGAGTGTTGAGAGCGGCAACGGAGAGAGCACGGAGAACGGAAAACGAATTATGGGGCCCAAGGACCCTATTTATAGTGATGACGTGGAATACCAAACGTCACCTCGTGCAACCACGGACTCCATCTCCTCGACGCACCGCTCCCAACGCAATGATGGCCCTACCCCCCTAGGGTGGCGGCACAACTCCCGAAAGATGCCTCGTGTGCTCGACCGACGCGCCCGGTACGGATCCTCCACGCATCCACCACCGAGGACGTCCCCGAGCACGACACGAGGAGACCCCTCGAGGGTCCACACCTCCATCCCGGGCACGAGACCTCAGCGACGGAACAACTTGGTTTCAAGTCATGGCTCCTCGCAAAGGAACCACGACTTGGGGGGCTCCTGTTCTGGACTGGGCCCGACAGGCCCATAAGCATTACTAAGGCCCAGTCCAAAGGGACTCACTCAGGACCACACTGGGCAAAGGGGGTCACATCCATGCCCGACACCCTGATGTCCACCTCGACATCTCGATGTCCAGCCCCACGCGGTGAAGTCATGCCCGACACCCTGTCGTCCGGCTGTGTCCTGACGTCCAGCTCGACACTCGCTGTTCAGCTCGACGTCAAGACGTCGAGCTCGGCACCGTGCTGCGCAGCTCGACATGGGCTCGAGCTACTCGGCTAGGGCAGACTCAGTCCACCGTTGCCCCAACGATACTCCGGAAAGACCGCGTCTTCGTCCGCCCGCACTTCATGCAGCACATCCAGGAAGGGGACCACGTGCTGATCCCCACTACCCACGTAGAACCTGGCAGTTCCTCCATTGGGCCAAATCCGCCCGGCCCAATGAAGGAACCTTGGCCCAGCGCTGGGGGCTATAAATACCCTCTGTTTTCAGAGGGTCAGGTATTCATCATTCTAACCTCAACTCTATTATCTGCTCGTACTCCCACTGACTTTAGCATCGGAGTGCCTTGCAGGTACCCCCCTCCTCGTTCAAAAAACCTTCAGCTCGGAGCAAGCCGTGACGGTCCAAACCTTCTGATCAGGTCAGATCAGATACATTCACATCATCATAAGTTGCTACCTCATTCTTTTTTGTTCCTTCACAAATATCTAGATAAATCATTTATAGCATAAGTATTTATTTATTTATTTTTTATTAGTAAATTTTCATTAGTTTATTTTATTATTAAAGGAAATATATGCCATAAACTATTTTCATAAATTATTTTGAAAAACTTATTAAAAGTAACTTCAATAAAATTTATAACAAATGCCATAATTATTTTAATAAAGTCTCACAAACAGAGTGTCATAAATCTTAATAAATAAGTTTGAATATCCAAACATTTATGCTCATAAGTATAAAACTAACATTGCCAAAAGTAATTGAAATGAAAAAAAACGGTATACAAATTCACGTTGTTACAATTATCATTATACATATCCAGCTCCTGCATCTGCATCACGATCTGCAAAGAAAGAAGCGCTGCTACATCTTCTGTCACTAAAAGAAAATGTTGTTGATGAAGATGATGAGTTAGCAGAAATCAAAGGAACTCTCAAACGACGACACTGCACAACCGGTGTATTAAACCTTCCACTCTTATAAAAGCTTCCAAACTTAGCTCTAATTTTAATATCAAAATCAACTGCCAAATCATTGTAAATCCCAACACGCGTCTCTTGGCTATACTCATCAACTTGTTTACGTCCGAGTTTGATCTTAGTATTTCCATTAAACACAATCGGTCCCAGAAATGTTGTATTTTTGTGTCCTTGGTCGAACGGTGTCAAACTCACATAACCAAAACTATTGTCTTTGTACCAAGCAATTGCGGTGATTCTTCGATAATAGACTATGATGTTGTTGTTGGGGTTTCTCACGGTGACGTTGAGTTTGAAATTGTAGTATAATGTATTGTTGTTGTTTGTGAGGTTGAACTCGGTGAGAGTAGCGTCGGTTACATGGAATTTCACGCTTGAGGGGGAGATTACTATCCAGAAAACAATTGAGAGAAGAATGAAAATGAAAATGATGGTGTAGAATGTGCAATAGAGGCCCGTAAAGGTTCCAAACCAATGAGGTCTGCAAGCCATATTAACGAGGTTTGAGTTATTTTGTGATGATGGGATTGGATGTTGATGAGTATATGGTACAAAGTTGTGTGTTTATAGAGGGTGGAGATTGATGAATTTTGGGGTATGTTTTGACTTAGCTTTTTATTTCCAGGAACGTTCTTTTGAAGCCAGCGCAGCGATGAAGAATTCCTCAATGGCTTCACTAACAAGAATATAATGAGATGTAATGTGGTGGTAGAGATATGAAATATAAAATATTAGAAATGAAGATATTAGAATTAATTGAAATAATTCCGTGTGCTTTTACTCCTTTTCTAACAAAACGCTTTGAAATGAGGTTAATCTGCCAATGTAAATTAAAGATAATTCTTTTTTATTAGATGATATACGGTCTAATAAGATGGACTCGTTCCGAAGGCTCAGTTCAGAACTTCACCCACTCAATCTAACGTTCATTTAGACTATCATTAATGAGCTAGAGAATGAAACCAAACATTGTGCTCATCTATTGAATTCAATCTCACATCCCCTTTCATTTGGCACCATATTCACCGAAGGTGACTCTAGTCGTCGTTCATATAAAAACTTGATTTCACGGCACACCAAGATGCGATTCATTCTATTTATGCAAGTTTCATCTCTCTGACTTCACCGTTTTAGGTGTGAAGATCAGGGTTATTACGAAAAAGATGTTGGAACAAAAGGTTTTCAAGAGAGATGATTAATAAAAGGAAGAAGATATATATATATATATATATATATATATATATATATATATATATATATATATATATATATATATATATATATATATATATATATATATATATATATATATATATATATATATATATATATATATATATATATATATAGATAGATAGATAGATAGATAGATAGATAGATAGATAGATAGAGAGAGAGAGAGAGAGAGTTACTTATGATGCTAACTGAATTGTTATTGTGATTGCATTGATTGATGTTAAAATTATAAACTAACAAGCCCTTTATATAGGCATACAATGCTCAGGCCCAAATCAACTATATAGACGATTGGTCCAAAACTACATTTCGACATACTACACGACTGTTGTATTCGACAGAGTCGAATACAACTGACAACATATTAGCACTAGCTATTCGACATACACCTAAGCACTTCGACAGAGAAAGAATTATACTATCTAACACGCACTCTAATTCATGTTCTCGAGACTTCTCATCCTGATGCTTCTCTTTAACTTGTCAAATCTGACTTTCTTCAAAGGTTTGGTGAATATGTCAGCTAGTTGCACTTCTGTCTTGCAATGTTTTAGCTCCAGCTTCCGTTTGTTAACTTGATCCCTCAGAAGATACATTTTTTCTATGTGCTTACTTCGACCATGACTCACTGGGTGATTCGTCAGGTAAATAGCTGACTTGCTGTCGACAAACAACTTCATCCTCTTAGGTTCCGTTATCTTGAGTTCTTCAAGTAACATTTTCATTCATGCTGCTTGGCCTGCAGCATATGATGTAGCCACATATTCTGCTTCGCATGATGATAAAGCCACAATGCTTTGCTTCCTCGAGCTCCAAGAGATTGGAGCACCTTCGATCATGAAATGTAGCATGTATTGCTTTTCTTTTCCTCTTGATCTCCACTGAAATTTGAGTCAGTATATCCATGAACTTCGACATTTATGTTGTTCTTCGACTTCCTTAGCAACATCACACCATTATCAATTGTTCCCTTTATGTATTTCAACACCCTCTTTACTGCAATGAGAAGACACTCTTATGGTTTCTCCATAAATCGACTCAACAATCCTACACTTTGGCAGATATCTAGTCTAGTATTGCAAAGATACCTCAAGGATCCAATGATTTGTTTGTATAGTGTCGAACTTACAAACTCATCATTTGTTTCCTTTTTTAACTTTGCTCCATTTTCTAACAGAGTGACAGCTGCATTACTGTTTCTCATATTTAACCTCTTCAATATATCTTGGGCATATTTCATTTGATGCAACAATACTCCTTCTTCAGTATCTTTGAATTCCATTCCTAGGAAATATGAGAGATTCCCTATGTCGTACATTTCAAATTCCTACATTAGTTTCGATTTACTTTCATTATCTCAGCTTTGTCTGTTCCAGTAATGAGTAAGTCATCAACATAGAAGCATAAAATTATTCGGCTGACACTGTTGATACCATTTACATACACTCTATATTCAGAGACACACTTTGTGAAACCTGCTTCGATCAGGAAGTTATCTATTCTCATAGTTCAAGCTCTAGGGGCTTGTTTCAAATCATATAGAGCCTTCCTTAATCTATAAACCTTCGACTCTTGCCCTTTGATGTCGAATCCTGGAGTAACATAGACCTCTTCTTCCAATGGACCATTCAAAAATTCGGACTTTACATCCAACTGATGTATCTTCCATCCTCTATATGTTGCTATCAGAACAATAATTCTGATTGTTTCTTGCCTCGCATCAGGTTCATAGTCTTTGTCAAAGTCGATACCAAGTTTTTGTAGAAAACCTCTCGCCACCAATCTTGCTTTATACTTCGTGATCTCACAATTTGGTCTTTGTTTTACCTTGTAGATCCACTTTACACCGATTGGCTTCTGATGAGTTCTTTCGACAAGCTCCCAGGTCTTGTTCTTCTTAATAGCTATGAGTTCTTCTTTCATAGCTTCACACCAATTCGAATTACTCATGGCTTCATTCAAGTCAATTGGTTATGCTTCAGCCATCATCATGGCTTCTTCGATTAAATCACCATCTGCATTAACTGCTTGATCTGAAAATCTTTCATATCCAGCTAGCCTTGTCGACCCAATTCTTGTTCTTATTGACCTTCTTTCATTCTGCACAGGTGGTTCTTCATTTTGACTGGTTAAAGCATCACATTGTTCATTTCGACTCGTTGAAGCCTCATTATGTTGATCTTCTTCAAACATAGTTGTGATTGTGTCTGATTCCTGTCAAACTGAACCTTGACTTCAGTCCCACCCTTTACTTTCGTCCATAAGAACATATCGATTTATCACTAGTTTATCTTCACTTGGCGAATACAACTTGTATGCACCAGTCAAATGATAACCTATAAACACCATTATCTCACTTCGATCATCCAGCTTCTTTCTCAATTGTCCAGGTACATGCCTGAAACACATTGATCCAAAAACTCTAAGATGACTCACATTTTTCTTCGAGCTCGTCTAAGCCTCATAAGGTGTTCTTCTGACCATCTTCTTTGATGGACACCTGTTTAGAATGTATATTGTTGTCGAAGTTGCTTCAGCCCAAAACATCTTAGGCATATCTTTAGATTTCAACATACTTCTTGTCATGTTCAACATACTTATATTCTTTCTCTCATACATGCCATTATGTTGAGGTGTATAGGGTGCAATAACCTCATGCTCTATACCTTACTCATTGCAAAATCTAGCAAATTCAAACATATACTCACCACTTCCATCAGTTCTCAACTTCTTCAGCTTGCATCCACTTTGTTTCTCACCATGCAACCTGAACTTCTTGAACTATGTGAACACCTCACTCTTTCTTTCAATAAGGTAAATCCACACATGTCTAGTGAATTCATCAATGAAACTAAGGAAATACTTGTTACCTCCATTTGACTTTACTTCAAAAGTTCCACACTCATTAGAATGAACTAGCTCTAATTTTTGCTTTGATTTCATGGGCAGGTCGTGTTCGAATGCCTTTATCGCTTGCTTTTCTTTGCAACATTCCTCACACGCCTGCTTTGGTTCCTTCACAGAAGGTAACCCAAACACCATACTTTTTTGATTGAGCTTGCATTAACTTCTGAAGTTTAAGCGTCCATACCTGCGGTGCCATATCCAGTTCTTGTCTTCTCCTGTATTTGAAGAAAGACATTTATGATCAGATGTGTTGAGTTCAACTTTGAATGTTTTATTTTCAGCCAATGGTGCTTTCATTATTAGCCTCTCATCAGCCCTATATACCTTCATATGATTCTTCTCCAACTTCATATTGAAACCTTTTGCAAGTAATTGACCTACACTTATCAAGTTATTTTCATATAAGGTACATACAACACTTGAGTGATAATGGCCTTTCGACCATCCTTCCTGAAAATCGAAATATCCCCTTTACTACCTAATTTGATGTGCATGCCATTTACAAACTTTATCACCTTTTCGATTCACTTATCTAACCTGGTAAACCAGTTTTTATTGCCAATCATATGGTTACTGCATCCTGAATCACGATACCACATGTTGTTTTTCTCAGTATCCGACTGAGTGTTGACCATTAATAGAACATCATCATAATCACCATCTCCAACTCGTGCATATTGAACTTCATCACTATTTTCCGTCGTCACTGTTTTCTTTCTCTGACAGTCTCGAGCATTGTGACCAAAACCTTAACAATTGTAACACTACATCTCTTTCGTGTAAACTTTCTTCCTATAATACTTATTGCCCACACCTTTCTTGATCGAATTAGTATTCTTGCTTGACTTCTCATCACTAGCAAAATTCTTTCGCTACTTCGAATTCTCTTTTCCAGCTTTTTTGCTGAATCTTGATTGCAATGCCTGTTCATCCACCTTTTCTATTCCTAATTTCTCTGCTTCAACTTCATCTCATGAGCCTTTAACGAAGCTTGATGTTCTTCTAACTTCATCTCAGATAGAGTCTTGGCCTCTTCAATTGTCACAATAATGTAGTAAAAATTTACAATCAAAGATCTTAACACTCTCAATCTTCTGCAGATCCGTAACCGATTTACCACATGCCTTCATCTGGTTTGCTAGCGCACAATTCTTAAGAAATATGCAGAAATTGATTCATCTTCTTTCATTTGAATCATCTCGTACTACTTCCTTAGTGTCTTCAACTTCACCTTCTTCAATTTCTCATCTCCACCATACAAGTTCTTTAACTAGTCCCATGCTCCTTTTGTCGTTTCTTCTTCAATTATCTTCTCAAATACATCAGAATCCACACATTGGTAAATCAATAACATTACTTTACCATTTTTCTTCCTTTGATATTTGTGCGTTGTTTTCTGCGCCTCTGCCGCATTTGCTTTAAGTTCTGGTAATCCATTATTCGATTTCAACAACATCTTGAAATATGAAAATAACCTTCATCTACGCAACCCACCGCTGATAGTTTCTCCTTTGAAAACCAGTAGATTTGCTGGAAACTGCATTGACGTTGTTGTTCTGTTTGCCATTAAATTCTCTCTGAATCGCAACTGAGCTCTGTGATACCAATTTTTTTGGAACAAAGGGTTTTCAAGAAAGATGGTTAATAAAAGGAAGAATAATAATAATAATAATAATAATAATAATAATAATAATAATAATAATAATAATAATAATAATAATAAGAAGAAGAAGAGAGAGAGAGATTGAAAGTTAGTTATGATTCTAATTGAATTACCATTGTGAATTGTGATTGCATTGATTATTTCTAAAGTTACAAATAAACAAGCCCTTTATATAGACATACAATACCCAAACCCAAATTGACTATATACAAGACTTACCCAAAACTACTTTTCGACAAACTGCATAACTGTTATATTTGACAGAGTCGAATACAGCTGACAACATATCAGAACTAGCTATTCAACATACACCTAAGAACTTTGACATAATAAGAATTATACTATCTAACAAAGGAAGACAACCCCAAAAGAAATATCTTTAAAGTCGTTTCCTTAAACGTTGATCTTCCTCCCCATAAATCGCAAGAGAAAGCGCATTCCTTGCCCAGGAGACAAAAAGTGGATCTTGGGAAAAATCAAGTTATCTTGGAAATCTCCCCCTCCCCGAACTGTAACAAAGAACCCTCTCAAAGTGTTGGCGATAACAGATCGTTACTAGGATTCCCTTATGAGTTTTATCTATGGCAAATAAATTTTGACAAACGAACGTTCCTTTATGACCATTTGAATGCACCTGGTGTTGTGAATAATGCAAAGAAGACAGGTCTTCAAAAAATTATCCAATTGATGGGCACTTATCTAATGAGGAGTGTCGTGCTAGAAAATGTGATGTTTGAGGCTACCGACTACTCTGAGAAAAAGGACAAAGGAATGGGAAAAAATTTAGAAGCTAAAGAATTTCTTGGAAGCCCATGCTGTGTTGACTCACCCAAACAAAGGAATCCCCCTCTGATTGTACTTGCCAACTGATGATACTGCAATAATCTCAATCCTAGTTCAAGAGGAAGACAGAGAAGAAAAACTATTTTGCTTCATTAGTAAGGCCATTAAGGGGGTGCATTATGTTATCATAAAATAGAGAAGGCTCATCTTGATGATCGTTATCATTTCCATGAAATTACAACCTTACTTCCAATGGCATCACGTCATATTTCCAAGAAATTACAACCTTACTTCTAATGGTATCACGTTATGGTAAAAACCAATTCTTACATTTGTCAGGTATTGAAGAAGTCTAAATTGGCAGGTATGATGGTATCATGAGCCTCGGAAGTATTTAAATGTGATATATATTTTATACTGAGAAGCAATACCAGGTCCCAATCCCTAGCCTATTTTGTGGGAGAATTCACCTCACAGGTGGAAGATGAGGCCTCCAACATTTGGGTTTAAAGAATCCACATTCAATGAGAGGAGAATGTTAGATTCGGTAGCACTAAAATGAAAGTTATAAAGGAAACATTGGCCAACCCTAATATAAATATTAAGGTATTCAATATGATGAAGCTTGATAAGGTAGAAGAGTGGATTCCACCAATCATCATGTATTTAACAAGCAAACTGATGTTCCCTGATGAGTCGGAAGCAAGGAAGATCAAAAGGCTCTCCACCCAATACATCATGATTGTTGATAACTTATATAAAAATGGATCAAGCTACACTTATGTCGAGATGCTTACCATAAGAAGAGGTAGAATTGGTTTTGGATGAAGTTTATGAAAGCGTATATGGAAGCCACATCAATGGGAGAGCTTTGGCAACCAAACATTTAAGGGCCATGTATTACTGGCCGAACATGCTGAGAGACATTACAAAATTTGTAAATCAATGTGGCAAATGCCAAATATTCTCAATCTTTGTCCACACCTCCGTCAAGATACTCCATTCAGCCACTTCACCTTAGACATTTTATCAATGGAGATTGGATTGTTAAACATTAGACTCCATACACAAGAGGGAGTGAATTGTGGAGGTTAAAAAATGAAATTTGTATGGATGTTATGTGATAATAACTTATTGTGTCTTTAAAAGAAGTTGAAAATATTTATTTTCAAAAAAAAATTTAGAAAAAAATATTATCAATGGATATCTGTGAATATCCTCAAATAAGTAAAAATATGCGACTTATCCGTTAAACAGATATCTGCACGGATATGAGACGGATTATAGATATCATATTTATCCTACGGAATGGACAATATATATTCATTTATATACTTACACTTTTAGTAGTTGCTCAAAAATTAATCCATTATTTAGTTTTTGACTTTTCAAAATAAATATGTCAATGTCAAACATTTCTTGCTTTAGAAACACATAGGTGACATATAGATTCCTTTTTTGTTGAACGTACAAACACATTACCCTTCTTTTTTTTTTCATTACACATTACCACTCTATATTCTCCCTTTCTAAGTATTTTGGTTAGTGTGTGAATTCAACAAGTCACCAAAATTGAAATTGATGTAACACTCAATGTCAAACCTCCGCATATATATACCAAACTTGTCAAAACTTATTGTTTCTAAGATATGCCAAATACAAGACTAAACAACCAAAAATAAATGCAACCAATTAAACAACCAATTAAACAGCCAATACTAAAAAAAGATACTCAAACAGCTCACAACACATTCAACCCCTAACAGCGATCCCACCAATAAGCATAACCACACGAGAGAAAACATAAGTGATCAAAATAAACACATATAATACTTGTATTTATATTCAAAGAGTTTAAAGGAGATACACTATTATAGTCTGACTTGTCCTGATTCGGAGTGCATCACCCAATTTCTCATATTCAAATAACATATATGCAACAAACATAATTTTGTTATATCCATATAAATGTAAAACATTGAAGATTGAATGTAATTAAAGTGAAAAAAATAGTATACAAATTCAAATTGTTACAATTATTCATTATACATATCAAGCTCCTGCATTTGCATCACGATCCGTAAAGAAAGAAGCGCTGCTACATCTTCTCTCACTAAAAGAAAATGTGGTTGATGATGATGATGAGTTAGCAGAAATCAAAGGAACTCTCAAACGACGACACTGCACAACCGGTGTATTAAACCTTCCACTCTTATAAAAGCTTCCAAACTTAGCTCTAATTTTAATATCAAAATCAACTGCCAAATCATTGTAAATCCCAACACGCGTCTCTTCGCTATACTCATCAACTTGTTTACGTCCGAGTTTGATCTAGTATTTCCATTAAACACAATCGGTCCCAGAAATGTTGTATTTTTGTGTCCTTGGTCGAACGGTGTCAAACTCACATAACCAAAATTATTGTCTTTGTACCAAGCAAATGCAGTGATTCTTCGATAATAGACTATGATATTGTTGTTGGGGTTTCTCACGGTGACGTTGAGTTTGAAATTGTAGTATAATGTATTGTTGTTGTTTGTGAGGTTAAACTCGGTGAGAGTAGCGTCGGTTACATGGAATTTCACGCTTGAAGGGGAGATTACTATCCAAAAAACAATTGAGAGAAGAACAAAAAAGAAAATGATGGTGTAGATTGTGCAATAGAGGCAGATAAAGGTTCCAAACCAACCAGGTTTACAAGCCATATTAACGAGGTTTGAGTTAATTTGTGATGATGTGTTTGGTTGTTGATGAATGAAAATATGGTACAAAGTTATGTGTTTATAATGAGTGGAAATTGAAGAAATTTGAGGTATGGTGTGTAGCTTTTGATTTTCTACGTGCTTTCGTTGTAATTACACAAGAGAGAAAACAAAGATGTGTGTATTTTATTTTATATTTTCATTTCATTTCACGGTTGACCAAAAACAATAATGATAAAAAAGAATAACACCAAGAGTATATTTTGATTCAGCTTTTCTATGAAACAAAGATGCTTATATAAATTAAAGATAAGATTATTAAGTTAAGAATGTTTTAAGAAATATCAAAATTCAGTTTTGTTATATTTCTTTTTATGCGGCTTTCAAACTCTTCTGTTTTCATTTTACAAGTTTCAACTTGCAACTTTGGTACTTAGCTGCAAATTTTTTTCTTAAAAACAAATATTTGGAAAATTGTAAAATTATCATTAATTAAAATAATATTTATGATCATTTTACAACCATCAAGATTTTGCAAAAAGTCAATGCCTTTAAAAGCTAACATGGATGCTATGTGTTCATTTTTTCTTGCTATCACTACTAAAAGTTTTCTAAAAATGTAATTCTAGATTTTACAAATTGTTGTAAAGTACATTTTTGAGCTAATGAAAATTAGTGATTTTTTAAGTGTACATTGTGGTTATGTGTCTTTTTCAGGTATCTATATGAAATGAACTTAAAATTTAGAATCCTTGTCCTTGAATTGTTGTTTTTATCCATGTGTATAGTATATTTGAAATGAACTTGATAAGATTGAAGTGGTGGAACAAAGAAGTCTTCGGGTGATTGGATTTGAAGATAGAAGATTCGCTCACGGAATTGAATGAGTTGGATGATCTTCTTAATGGTGGTGCTTCTTGCTTAGATACTGTTAACAAAAGGAATTTGGCCTCCAAAGATTTGTGGAGGAATCTTACTCTTACGGAGAGTTTATTAAGGCAAAAGTCTAGTTATTTCTATAACGTCATGAGAGAAAGACATAGGAAGAACTATTTATCTTATAATATAATATTGTAACCCTATAAAGACAAGGGTTAAAGTACATGAACTATAATTTCCATTTAGATTGTCATTCTTTTCGTTCTTGTTTTCGTCTGAATCGTTGGATACTGTGTGGAAACTGGAAAGTGTGACATCCCGACAACAACGTACGATTGCAAAAAGGTAAGTATTGTTTAACATTATAACTTCTATACTGTACTTTCGTTGTGATCCCAATAGTTTAGTTGTTGGGTATTTCCATCTTTATAGAAATAGACGTCTTCAGCATCATATTCCACCGTGTGAAAATTTCGTGCATGATAAGTTCACATTTTACAGGGGAGAACTGACACAATAGTGGAAAGTCAAGAAATCGATACTTGGAGATTTTTGAGGATGTGAGCTTAGTTAAGGAGTGGGGGTATGATGGGTTTAGGTTGTGACAAAAATCTCAGGGATTGGCGAAGGGTTTATTCAAGTAGTTGAAGATGTTACAAGTGGAGCAATTTCCAAACACAGCGTTGATAACAAAGTTGATGGTCATATTTGAGTTGAGCACGATGTATCAAATATGATGCGCAAGGTTGCAAGTCTTAATATTCTTCAAGTCAATGGAGATAGCCTTGATGGTAATATTGATGATGATGGAAATAATGATGATGATGTTAGAGGCACTAGGTTTGATGACAATGAAGAAGAAAGAACCTGTGAAAATAATGAAGGGTTTGTGAGAGTTGAGGTGAAAAGACCAAACAATGGTGTCAGGGTTGAGATCAATGGCAAAGATGTTAGGTATAAGTTAAGGACTAACAAGAAGCAAAAGGTATTGAAGAGCCCCTCCAAGATGATTTTACTGGTTCCTACAAAAATAATGGGTTCTAGTTCTAGATTTTTCGAGAATAATTTCAAAGAGACTTTTAATAATAGGCCGGTGATTGAGTTGAAAAGCTTATCCATGCAAGATAGTATTTCTTTAGATCATCCTTTCTCAGAAGAAGAAATAAAGGAAGTGGTGTGGAATTGCAACAGTAACAAGATCCTGGGGTAGGATGGTTTCACTTTCAGTTTTTTTTTTTGCAAAGTTGTTGGGAGATAATTAAGAAGAATGTTGTCTGCTTTGTTAAGGATTTCCACTCCAATGCAAGATTAAAGAAAACCCATAACTTTTTTTTACATTAATTCTAAAGTGCTTAAATCCACAAGAGTTGAACAAGTATAGACCAATTTGTCTGGTTAGTTGCTCTCAGAAAATTAAAGCTAAAATTTTGGCGAGTAGATTGAAAAAGGTTACCGGGAGCATTTCTTCTATTGAGAAAACTTTGTTTGTTCCTAGAAGAAGTATCCTCGATGGGGTGTTTGTTGTTAATGAAGCGTTGGATTTTTCTACAAGAAGTAAGAAGAATTGTATGATGATGAAAATTGATTTTGAAAGAGCCTACGATTGCGTGAGTTGGGATTTCTTGAGGTATCTTTTTAATAGGATGAAGTTTAGAGATAAGTAGAAGTCGTGGATGAAGGCTTTAGTTTTTCATGGTTTGTGTTCAGTGTTAGCCAACGGTAGTGCAAAAAAAGAATTTTCTATCAGAAGAGACTTAGGCAAGGAGATCCCCTATATCCTTTCCTCTTTGTGCGGGTTATGGAAGGTCTCAACGGCATCATGAAGAATGAGGTATCTTTGAAAGAATTTAGAGGTTTCATGGTGAATGAAGAGGTTTCTTTTGATGTCCTTCAGTTTGCGGACGATACTATCATCCTTGGAGAAGATAGATAGAACAATGTATGAAGTTTAAAAGCTATTTAGAGAGGATTTGGACTTGTTTTGGGTCTCAGTGTTAACTTTTCAAAAGCAAGCTTTATGGAGTTAATGTGAAAAATGGATTTCTTCAGACAACTTTTGTTTTTCTGTGTTGTTGTATAGATAATATTTCATTCAAATTTCTGGGTGTGCAGGTCGGCCCTAGCCCGAGGAGGGCGAGCTTATGGAAGAATGTTGTTGACAATGTAAAGAATAGGCTGTGAAATTGGAAGGCAATGGGATGTATATTGGAGGGAGGTGGTTATGATTAATGTTGTGTTGAACGTAATCTTGTGTTACTTGTTGTCTTTTTATAGAGCTCTGATGAAAGTGTTGAAAGAGATTATTAGGATTTAGAGTAATTTTCTTTGGAGTGGGGTAGCGCAGAAGAAATCCATCCATTGGGTAAGCTCGGAGAAGGTTTTTTTGACCAAATAAGAGGGGGGGTTAGGTTTTATAAATATTGAGCTTTTCAATATTTCTCTCCTTCTAAAGTGGAAGTGGAGGATTTTACATGACAAAAATGAGATATGGGCGAGTTTATTAAACCACGGGTACCAGAATCCTTGAATTTTTATTTTGACTAGCGGAGGTGTTAGAAAGAGTGGTGGACAAACCTTACTAATGCAGAGATAATTCCTTCTTTGAATAATGATTGTTTTTCTGACAATGTGAGGTGTTCTCTTGGCAGTGGCTTTGATATTGTATTTTGGTCCATCAAATGGTTGGGAACTCATTGTATTAAGGAGGATTTTTCGGAGTTGTTCGCTTTGTATTTATTACCGAAAGGTAGTGAAGGTTCAAGAAACACAAGAAATGGGGGTTTAAAATTGGGGTTCACAAAATAAAATTTATTGAAACTCAAACACCAACTCTTAACCGAAGAATAAAAATAAATGAACACAATTATTTTTATCCAGGTTCACTGTTAACAAAGTTAATTCAGTCCACCCGCCAAGGTGATTTCTCCTTCTCAATAAGGACTTAATCCACTATAACCAATCAGATTATAGAACCACAACAAGACTACCTGTCACTGTTGCAAACCACAAAGACCAATTGTATGTGTCTTCTTGAGTATATAGACTAACACTTAGTCACTCAAGGAACCAAACTCAAAGACAAATTGTCAATGACTTCTTGAGTCTACGGACCTTCACTTAGTCACTCAAGGCACAATCAACTTACAGTTGAATACATATTTTATGTTTACAAGATTGCTTCTTAGAAGCAGATTACACAAGATTGAAGTACAAATAATTACACAAAATTGTTAAGCAAGTTAACAAACCAAAGTTCCTTGATAACAAGTTAACAAGCAACAACTCCTTGCTTTACAAAAATTACAGAGTTATTTTGGAAGTGTTTCAACAACTTGAATAAGCGTGAGATTCTTCAAAGTTCTTCCACATTTACAATTCTTCCAAGTCTTCTTTTTATATCATAAAAGAAATCTGTTATAGGGTAGAATAAGAATTGCAAAATTCTAGCTGTCTTCTTGCAACGATCAGTGAGAGAGTGGTAGACAACCTAATACATAAGTATTGTCCATGCGCCACAAAACCAGTGTAGTAGAGGCGAGGTGATGTTGTACCTTGTACTATCACTCACATGAAACCTTTTGATCTTCTCTTCTAATCTTCAGAGGCTTCTTGATGTATAATGGTTGAAGCATGTGTAGAAGGATAAAAAAATAAGTCTCAAGAACAATGTCATCAGAGTCTTCAGAACTTGTTCAATCTGAACCTTGTCGTCAGAATCTACAACACTTGGTGTTCATAGTCTTCATAAACATGTCTTTAGAGTCTTCAGAACTTCATTTAACAGAACCTTGTCTTCAGAGTCTTCAGAAGTTAGTCTAGAGAACCATTGGTCTTCAGAATCTTCATAACCCGTTCAACAAAACCTTGTCTTTAGAATCTTCAGAACTTGGGAAAGATAACTTGGAATATTTAGAGCTTTAAAACATATCAGAAGCTCTACAAAAAAGTAAAAATTAGAAGTAATAAAACTAATGTTCTATCAGAAATGTTGTTTTACGACGCATTTTAAGCCATGAAACACAAACTTGTATTCTTCAGTGTTTCGAGTCCAAAATTTGATGACATCACACGTCAATTCTTCAAAGACAAAACCTGTTAGAAAAATATACACATTAAACAAATCA